CTTTTTGGACACCTTTGACAATTGAATATAGAGTCACTGCCAGCTGTGACAATTGTGTCAGGTGCTATGTCAAGACTGAGGCAATCAGGTGTAACGGGAATGCGCTTATGGGAGGCCAAAACACCCAAAACCACAAGTCTAGACATTTGGATAAAGACTCCATCTGGACACCAATACAAGTGGGACCTCCATCTCTTGAGGGCTGTAAAAACTCAGAGGTCCCACCACCCAATGCGCAAGTTTGGCTCTACCATGGGTCATGCTCAGAGCCCTGCCAGACATCTATTCCACCAGAAACGTGCCACCGCTGTAGCCGTCTGGCCTGAGACCCGGTCCACCTCCCACCTGTGGACCCTGCCAGTGACCAGGACTTTGCCCCAGATGCTCTCTCTGCTCCCTTCTATTGCATGAGTTCCCCCTCTCTACATGTAACTTACCTGTGACTCTGCGGGCTTATTAAGGAAGAGGTGTACCCCAATAAAACTGGCATTGTGCAAAGACACAACATGTGTGAGTGGCTCCTTTCAGGGATGCTCCATTGCTCATAATAATTGTTTGGGTTTTTTTTAGAACTTGTCGTAAGTAACAGAATTTTGCCTTTGTCTTGCCAGTGTGCATATTGGCCTTGATAAAGCAGCCTCTCTTTGAAATGTTTTGTGCAGCACTCTGAATATAAGAAGTTACGGAAGGCACTAGACTTGCATTGATTTTGTTTAATACAATGTTTTTAAGGAAGTCATAGTTTCTAGAGCAAACTATGCTCCATAGTTTCTGGAACAAAGTAGTTCTATTCCATGAAAAATATTTCTTGCTCTGGCTGGGTAGCTCAGTTGGTTACAGCATCATCCTGATACACTAAGATTGCCATTCTCTCCCTGATCAGGGCACCTAGGAGAATCAACCAATGAATGCATGAATTAGTAGAAAAACAAATCAATGTTTTTCCCTCTCTCCCTCTCTCTCTAAAATTCAATAAATAAAAAAAATTTTAAAAACATGCTAAATGTTAAAAAAAAATACTTCTTAGGCCCAAAAAGTAGTATGCAGACATTTTTCTTGTTGTTTTGTAATAAATTACCCCCCAAATTATTCACATAGTACTGTTAACATGAGTATGTTATCTTGTATATTTGTTATTTATTATATATTATTTATTATATTTATTATGTCATAATAGTAATATACTAACATATAACTAAGTGAACAGGAAAAAAGTTAGGTTCCTACTCCCTTGAAGATAAAATCCAATATCCTAAGCATGACACAAATTCTTTACAACCTGTCTTCAAGTTACTTTCTCATTTTCATATTCCTGCATGCCAAACTCAATCCATGCATCTTTTGTGCTTCCAAGTCTGTTCCTTCTGCCTGGAATGCTTTTCCTCTGCCTTCTTCACCTCACAAATTCCTACCCAGTCTTTGGAACCCAGATCAAAAGGCACCTCCTATGGCACCAAACTTTTCCAGTGGCATCTCTCTTCATTAATGTGTCTGTGTACTCGAGGGAAGGAGCCATCTCTTATTTTCCCCTTATTATTATTATTTTAGATTTTATTTATTTATTTTTACAGGGGGGAAGGGAAGGAGAAAGAGAGGGAAAGAAACATCAGTGTGGGTTGCCTCTCGCATGCCCCCAACTGGGGACTCAGCCAGCAACCCAAGCATGTGCTTTGACTCGGAATCATACTGGTGACCCTTTGGTTTGCAGGCTGGCACTCAATCCACAGAGCCATGCCAGCCAGGATTCCCTTATTTTTTAAAATGGAAGCTCAAGAAATGTTCAATAAATGATAAAATGATAAATGAAACAAATGTATGGATTTGGGGACGGTTACCCTGATCTCCTTGTAGAATATTAATCAAAGAAGCAGGCTTCTCTTTCTAAACTTGGACCACAAGTGAGAGGTGGCAGGCTCACTCACGTGGATCAGAAGTCAAAAGGATGTTATAATGAATCATATACCAGTGTGGAGTCGTAGGCCAGGGCAGGAGGGGCATAGGTCACCTTTTCTGACTGTTGAAGCCAATGAGAGTTATAAAACCACCTCCCCGCAGTTCCATTATGCTTCCATACCTGTTTTTCCTGCTTTTGGAAGCTTGCCTACTTCCTTCTGCCTTCCTCTCTGTAGCAAGTGATTTTTAGGTTTTTAAAGAAATCTAGCCTTAGCTTAGCCCTGGTGTGGCTTAGTGGATTGAGTGCTGGCCTGTGAACCAAAGGATCTTGGTTTGGTTCCCAGTTGGGGCACATGCCTTGGTTGCGGGCCCCAAGTTGGGGGCATGCAGGAGGCAACTGGTTAATGTATCTCTCACACAGCAATGTTTCTCTCCCTCTCTCCCTCCCTTCCTCTTCTTTAAAAATAAATAAATAAAAATCTTTTTAAAAAAAAGTCTAGTATATAATACTAGATTGGAAATGAGGAAAATTGTGGTATTCTTGAGTTATGATCATTTATCAAGGTCCCAGTACTGAGAAAATTCACTGTTATTCACTTTTGGCTATCTGATGAAAAATGAGGAAATAGTTTTCCTCAGTATACCTTTGACTAATTGTTAACGTGCAAATGGTTAAGAGTCGGCCATCATTTGGAAAAAGTTTATTTAGAAATAAATATAGGTTCACAGGAAGCTGCAAACATAGTACAGGGATTTCCCCTGTATCCTTACGAAGTTTCCCCCAATTTTAACATCTCATATAACTAGGATGCCCTATCAAAATCAGAAAATTGACATTGGTACCACCCACATACCTTACTTAGATTTTATCAGTCTTACATGTACTCATTTGTGTGTGTGTGTGTGTGTGTGTGTGTATCTATGTGATTGTAATCACAGGTGTAGATTCTCGTAACCACCACCACAATTAAGAGATGGGATTACTCCACTTCTCAAAGATTCCTTGTACTGCCTCTTTAAAATCACACCCATTCTCACGTCCTTCCTTCCTTTCCCATCCTTTTAAATGTTTTATTTATTTTTTATATTTGATATTTCTCACTAACCCAGAAAAGACGAGGTGAATTTTCCTATTGATTCTTGTGCTGTTTTAAATGCTGGAAATAGAAAGGAGCATGGGTCTAGGAAGTTAAGGGAAACTTCTGTGGCCACCAGTGGGGAAATCAGCACAAAGATGTTAAAAGTAACACAAAGCTCACGGAAATGACTTTTATTCCTATAGTTGGTTAGTTTCTAGGAAAATGTACATTGGCCCTGTGTAGATAAACACTTGGCACGGTACTAAAACTGATAGGTGTTCAGCAAATATTTATCAGGCAAGGACACTGATCCAACAGGGAACACTGCATTCCATAACCAGTTCCTAAGAGAATGTGAAACAATTCTCCATTTGTTCCAGAGGCAGCTGTTTTCAAATTAGTAAAGCTTTTTTGCAAATGGAAAAGTAAAAAAGCCAGCAGGTCACCTATTTGCTTTTCCTATTTACATATCCCTAATTTACTTCTCCAAGCAGCAGACAAAACACAAAAATAAACCTAAGGTACCAACTGAAGCCATTAACCTGAAACATCACGCTGTAAGCTGCTTTCCATTCCTAAAATTTCACAGAGATTGTCCACCAGGTCCCTCTGCTCAGTACAAGGTCCCTCTGCTCAGTAAAAGGTGTAGCCCACCTTTTAAAGGGCAGGAAAGGTGCAGACCAGTCATGTAATAACAATAATGATCAAGGGTGAGTACACTTACCTTGGTAGTTGACACAATGCCAAGAACTTTCATGTATGCCATAAAACAACCCTGTGAGATGTGTAATTTTATTATCTCCATTTTACAGTTGAGAACACTAAGACTTAGAGAATGTAAATTTTCCTTAAGGCCACACAGCTAGTGACTGGAAATGGTGGGATCTGAAACCATGTCAGTTGACCAGTGCTAGAAAGCCTTGGCTTTCATTAGGTCTGAGGTGTGGCACAGAAATATAAACAGAATACTGTTTACAGCCCCCTCTACCTATTGGTAATTCTGATACACTGATTTCTTGGGAGGCACTGCTGGAAGCTACTTCCTGTAAGGAATTCCCTGCAAACTGGGGTGCTGAGAACTCATAAACTTAGATCAGAGATGCTCTTACTTCATAGACGTACTTCAGATAGACAGTGCTAAGTGATTAGTTGTTTTTGCCTGCTGCTTTGGATGAAAATCTATTCTTAAATTGTTTGTGTCTTTACTTATTAATTTATTTTCCAGCTCATCAGAGCACCATAAGTTTGAGTAAGTGTTGCAAGCAGCACTCCATCGGAAAGGGGGTTACCGGTAAATCATCGTGTAACTGTGGAGCACACATGTTTAGTTATTTCTAGCACTGAGGTGGGTGGATTCTGACTTAGTTCTCTAAAGTCTTTGCATTTATTTTTCCTTTAAAAGAAGGAAGAAAGAGGAGGAGGCCGAGAACTAATAGCTTGATGGTAACTATGGGTAAGAAGAAATAAAAATAAAGATATAAAATCCCATAAAAAAGTTTCCTTTAATCTGAAGCATATTTTGGCAAATGTAGGTATATGACTAGACTTAATGAAATGTTCTTAATAAAACCTAAAGATTGCTCTATGAGGAATAAGTGTATGAATTAACATAAAAAGTAGCTTTGTATACACAGGCCCACAGAACACTGGCTGGGTGTGTTTCATTCACAAGAACTTGAGAGGAAAATATCGCAAATCACACTTGATTTCATCATTTGGAAAACGTTTATTTAGAAATAAATATAGGTTCACAGGAAGCTATGAACACATAAGCCAAAGGACTAATAAACCACCCACAAAGAATGAAACTATTTTGAACACATCATTCTGCAAATATGTAATATAATATTAAGATATGCTTAAAACTGTGTAAGGTAGAGATGTATCTGGCCTTTTATTGAAAAGAGGAGGAGTCAAATATCATGAAAGGGCTGGGACCTGCTTGCAGTCCCTCCGGAACTTCCTGTTGTCACCACACCTCCAGGTTAGTTATCTGATCTGTCTCAGAGCAGAGCTCTCAGTTGAAACTCTAAGGCTCTGTGAATGTGACACACACTCTCTCCAGCTTCCATATGCTGGGATTATGCTTCTTCCTCAGTTTGATGTGCTTGGCCAGATCAGGTAAGTCATTTATTGAATGGTTTCCTTAATTATTTGAAAAACATTACTAGTATTAATGTCATTTTGCATTTTATCATCCCAGTTCCTTAATGTACTTTTTAAATTACATCCAATCATTTTAAAAAAAGATATGGATTTAATAAATTTTCTAATTCCGAAAAAGAAATATTTTTTTCTCAGTAATAAAAGAAACTTATTCCTTTGACTTAATTTGTTGTTCTGAGGTACAAAAATTAAATATGTTGAAAAATCTAGAAGAGTGTTCTTCATAGTTAAAATTTCTGTGCCTTTTCACCTCTATGAAATAAGAGTAATTATTTTCTGGAAACTTAAAATTTTATTTTTTTTAGAAGATCTAATATTTAGAGAATAGGTTTTTATAGCATTTGTGCATTAAGGGTTTATTTAAATTGTTCTTATGGAAAAACATAAATTTATGTATGTAAACCTCTTAGAATGGTGCTTAGCATATAGATAGCTTAAAAACTATTTATCATAATTAAGAAATAAAAATTAAAACAGTAACAAAAATAAAGTGAAAAAATTTTTTGAAAACTCAATACCTCTTAGTCTTTTTAGGAATCCAGTTCTTTTTCACATAGGTCATGATAGTGTAGTACAATATTTTTTGAAGGAAAATATATATTTGGATCCATAAAAATGTTCATGTCCTTTGAAGTAGTAAAACAACTTTTAAAAGAGAAAGAACTTATATACAAAGATGATTCTGTTATTTATAATACCTTGAAACTAGATACAGCAGAAATGTACCTACATACAGGAATGGGTTAAGTAAAACTAAAATTTCAACAATGTTAAAATCATGTATATATGCCTGTAAATAAAGTTTAGATTGGAAATGGAAACATTAAAATAGTTATATAAGAATTTCGGGCTTGGAAATAAATTTGGTTTTTGCTCAATCCCTCCACCCCTTCAAATCCAGCCTCCCAACCTACTCCCCTCCCCCACAGCTGTTAACCTGCTCTCTATGAGTCTGTTTCTATTTTGCTTATTAGTTCATTTTGTTCATTAGATTCTACATATGAGTGAAATCATATGGTACTTGTCTTTCTCTGACTGGCTGATTTTCACTTAGCATAATGCTCTCTGTCACAAAGGGTAAGATTTCCTTATTTTTAACAGATAAGTAGTATTATATTGTGTAAATGTACCACAGGTTTTGCATCCGCTCATCTAGGGATGGACACTTGGGCTGCTTCCAGATCTTGGCTATTGTAAAAAATGCTGCAAAGAACACATGGGTGCATATATTTTTTCGAAATAGTGTTTCTGGTTTTTTCAGATATATTGTGTAATAAATATTTCTTAATTTGTGCTTTTGAAGTTGATTTAACAGTAAGTTAAAATTTTACTAGTGATGATATTTTTAACTAAGAATCAACGTTTTAAAGTGTGTTTATCTTTTTTTTTTTTTAATTTTAAAAAGGGACATAAATTTAAGGGTAGCTTAAGGGGAGAGGAAGCTTACCATAACACAGAAACCTGATGATGATTTGTGGTTACTTCTCCTGGGCTCCCATTATATATCTTTACTTACAAGGTAGGAACTTAATTTTTTTGTGACCTGCCTTTTTACTTAATGTTACCTCATTAGTATAGTCTTGTTTTAAATAGATTCTAGAAGACTCACTGCTGCATGATAGAATCTAAGCAGACAGTGACACACCACAATACACTTCTGTAGCTAGAAGGAAAAGATATAATTATAGCTATAAGCTAAATCTGGATTCTTAGTATCTGCAAAACTGTCTACTTGGAAATTTCGTGGGGGAGGGTACTGAATAGTATGCATCTGATGGCAGAAATTATTAATCACTTTTTGCTTTTGCCTTGTTTGCCTTGCAGGCGAAAAATTAGCAAGTGTTAGGATGTGATTCAGAAATCCCGAGGATACCGAGTCATTCACTTTCAGAGATTTTTGTTTTGTTATTCTAGCCTCTGTAAAATCATGATGGAAATGTTGGCCATAATCTTTCCAATGTGTAAGGCAAACTCTAGTGCACACCAGAAATTTCTGGGAAACTTGTTAGAAAAGCAGACTCTCTCCCCAGAGACCCAGGCTCAGGGGGTCTAGTGTGAGATCCCAAAATACTCATTTTTAATAAACTCTCAAGGTTTTTCAGCTACAGGTGGTCCAAGGAACATGGCTGATAAATACTGTTTTAAATTATGGCTGTTGTCCTAAGTATTTTTTAAAGTGACTCTGTTACCAATCTTTTGGCCTATGGTAACTTGTGTAAAACCAAGTAGATATTTTCCTAGAGAAAATAGCTTGGTGCCAAACGGGGAGAATATTTCCTAGGATACTGGAAATCCTTTCCAAGTGGTTTGTAATTCCATGTGTGTGATTCATCAGTCTCTCACACAAAAGCATAGGTGAGTGAGGGGGTGGGGTGTGAATGCATATACTTTGCACATCATTAAGAGATGAGAGTGAAGAAACCTGGCATCTGATTTGTTTTCTAAATTGTATCCTAAAGAAATATAAGCCAGGGGTTGAAAGTAGAGATACCTTTCCAGGGGGTAGGGGGTGGGGAGAGAAACGACTAATAAGTCCTGGCCAGCTATGAACACTTCACATTCTAGACCAGGACAGGTTTTTAATGCCAAATTCAGATGGTCCTCTGCACAAAAATATATAATGGGTTAATTTTTTTTTAATTTATTTTTAAAGTGAGGGGAAGGGAGGGAGAAAGAGAGGGAGAGAAACATCGATGTGTGAGAGAGATATCGATCAGTTGCCTCACATGCCCCCAACTGGGAGCCTAGCCCACAATCCAGGCATGTGCCCTGACTGGGAATCAAACTGCCAACCCATAGGTTTATAGGCTAACTCAATCCACTGAGCCACATCAGCCAGGACTACTTTTCATATTTAAAAAATTGAGTAGAACTTCATGACAATGAGATGTCACTTCCTCCTTTTAATTTCTCTTAAAAAAGGAGTCCAACTTATTTTCTAATTTCTCCAAGGCAAACTTTCTCACCTAAAGAAATTTTTATCTCTGGGACTTTTAGAAATTCCTTCAGGAAAGTGTTTTTAGGCAAACATAAGAGTGCTCAGTGTAGGAACATCCCAGCTAGAAACATCCCAGCTCCATCAATTAACATGTGGCAAGCTGTGTTCCAGACACTGATTAGTAGTCATTGCCCAGTTGTGCAAAATGCTAGACAAAGCATCTCTTAATCTTGGTCTGAATCTCTGTAAATATTTTCAGGCAGCATTGAGCTGGTATACCTGATCTTGGACTTCTGTTCTAAAGTTGTTAACACACATCTGCGTCATATTTGGGCGTGGGGGGAAATGACAGCTAGCTCGAGCACGCCTTGGAACCCAAATGAACTAAAATAGTGTGAGCCGGGGTCATGCTTGCTTTACTTCCTGTCTGGATACTGTGCATCAAAGTTAAATTAAGTGGAATTTCATGGCTGTCACTTGGGTTTGGAAGTTAGTGGACTAGGGGCTACCAACCATGGATCTGAGAGAAACTAATACTTTTGATTTTAATAACTTGACTCAGTCATTTGGGCGACATAATACGAATTTACCTTTGCTTATTGCCTCTCTCCTTGCGCACACTCACACTTGCTTCATCAGTGGGTCATTTCTGTCCACAACTCCATCATCTTTCTGGATGTGAATGAGGTGTTTCCTCTGTCTGTAGAAGTTTTGCCCCAACCAGAAATGTGAGGAATGTTACCTCCAAAAGCAGTTAGAAACCATAAGGCCCCCAGGAAGGCAAGCCTCGGTCTCAGTAGTGCCCAACCCCAAAAGTGCGGGGGAAATAGAATTTAGTAAAAAGAATCTGACTCAGCAGCGTGCCTCAGCATGAGAGATTGCAGTACGTTAACTTAGATTGCTCTGCGACAGTGATCTGCCCGCACCCGGGGGCCCCAAGGCCAGGGCTGAAATAGGGTGAGGAGTGTGAGTTATTCATCTCAGACACATAATGTAAAAGGCATACCAACAAAGTCAGTCATTGAGGGAAAGAGTATCGAATGCAATATCATCATCATAATAATAATAGTGCATCAAACTTGACTGTGCAGACTTGCCACCTGTTTATGTAAAGAAAGTGTTCCTAAAACGGAACGTGACACCAAGACAAGATGCACAGCTCTATTCAGTTTCCGGGTGGTGTGTCTTGTGAAGACAGAGCAAAGGCTCCTTTGGAAGTTTCACCCAAGGCTGTCAGCGCTTCGTCCTACCCAGGGACTTTCCCGCTGGGACTCATGAAGTGAGTCAATCTCAGGAAGCAGACATCTTTTTTCTGGATTGTCTTCTAGAGAAATATAGCTGTTGGTTAAAAGCAGGGATGTCCTTCCAATCAAGAGGGCGTTTTGTGTACCCAACCCAATTTTCTCTAGCAAAGAGAGAAATTACAATTATATTTAGTCCCTAAGCCTGAGAGTGAGAGTAGTAGTTTATTTTGCAAATGAATAGGTGCAAACCCTCCCCCACCCCCCAACAGAGTGACCAAGGTGTGGGGCTTTATTTAACCATTCAGCGATGGAAATGGAAGTACATCGACCTCAGTCTCCAAGGGGAAAGAAAAATTGGAAAACTGAGAGACTGTTTAGATTTGGACAGAAAAAGTAAAACTTCTGCCCACTCTCAAAAAACTTTTCACTTTTTCACCCTGTTCTTTCCACGGAAGTATGAAATTATAGGAACCTCTTTTTTTGTTTGTTTGTTTGTTTGTTTGTTTTTATTGATCTATAATTCACGTACTGAGGCAGGAGATAGTCAGGAAGGAGGAAACTCCAGAGGTGCCCCAGGGCTAAGATAAAGAACATGGATAAAGGGCAGAGACCCTGTTCTAAGACTGGTAGCTCCTGCATCTGGAAAAGCATTGAATCCTAGTGGATCAGGAATGCACTGTGCAGAAGATGCTACCTGATCTCTGCTTCATTATAATAGTATTATAATAAATTAGCATTAGCATTTAAAATGTCCAATTTCAATGGGTTTTTAG